ATCATTGATAAGCATAAGGAAGCAGACTGGTCCCATCTTGGTGCCTTGGGGGACGCCACAGGTGAGTGACTGAAAGGTGGAGACAGCCCCTCGGAAGCGTACGGCTTGGCGTCGGTCACTAAGGAAGTCTGTGAGCCATGGTAAAAGACTTCTTTGAAACCCGAGGTCGATAGCTTTGTTGATGATTAAATTGTGGTCGACTAGGTCAAGCGCTTTGGTGAAGTCAATGAAGGCGACAGCTACAGACGTTTTTCGTTTTTCCAGATGGCGGTATATGTAGTCGAGAAAGCTGACAAGACGGTGAGTGGTGGAGGAAGTTTTCATATTACCAAATTGCTGAGGATCTACGGCGCCTGCAATATGAGCATAAGCCCAGTCAAACACGAAACTTTCATTTGTGTGTGTGTGTGTGTGTGGCAGTTCTCAAGACACAAGCAAACATTGAACAAAATACAATAAAAATACGGTGATAAGTTGGTCAATTCATCTCCCATCATCCTGAACAGAAGACTTCAAAACACAAGTTACAAGACACTTAGGAATAAGTTAAAGAAAAATACAGTAAATTCATTATTATAACAAAGGTCAAGACTCCTCTGTACCTTCCTCCTCCTCCTCCTCCTCCTCCTCCTCTCCCTCTTCTTCCTTCTCTTCCTCATTTTATCCTCGTCCTTCTCCATTCAATACCTCCAGAGAATCATAAACCACCCAGTACCCCCATAGAACCATAGGAGACCATCCAGGACCCCCATAGAACAATAGGAGACCATCCAGTACCCCCATAGAACCATAGGAGACCATCCAGCTAGTAGGAGACCATCCAGTACCCCCATAGAACCATAGGAGAGTACATAGAACCATCAGTCCAGTACCTCCATAGAACCATAGGAAACCATCCAGTACCCCCATAGAACCATAGCAGACCATCCAGTACCCCCATAGAACCATAGGAGACCATCCAGTACCTCCATAGAACCATAGGAGACCATCCAGTACCCCCATAGAACCATAGGAGACCATCCAGTACCTCCATAGAGAACCATAGGGGACCATCCAGTACCCCCACCAGGAACCATAGGAGACCATCCAGTACCCCCAGAGAACCATAGGAGACCATCCAGTTCCCCTATAGAACCATAGGAGACCATCCAGTACCCCCAGAGAACCATAGGAGACCATCCAGTTCCCACAGAGAACCATAGGAGACCATCCAGTACTTCAGATAGGTTCTAGAGTGGCGACAGAGAACAGCCCCGGGTCATTATTTTCAAGAGGAAGGACTGGTAACGCAATATCTGGGAGTCAGAGAAGCAATATGCAATAAAAGTGAAGAATGTTGCATATTGGCATCTCGTGAGGCGGTCTTTGTGTGGTAGTGACCGGGTGGGTGAGAGTGGTGGGTTGTGGTGGGTTGTGTGGGGTGGTGGTGGGGTGGTGGTATGTGGTAGTGGTGGTGAGGTGGTGGGGTGGTATGTGGTGGTAGTGGTGGTGGTGAGGGTGGATAGTGCTGTGGGCTGGTTAGGGTGGCAGTGAGCAGTTGGGGGGAGTTGTTTGGTGTGAGGTGGTAGGTAATTGCAGTGGGTGGGATGGGCGGGAGAAAGTGGCGGTGGGCGGCAGTTGTTGGTTTACAAGTAGTGGGTGGTGACGTAAGTAATATGGTGATGGATGGTTGTGATTGATGGTGAACGGCAGTGGTTGGTGATAGTGAAGTGAAACATAGTTCAGAAACACCTCCTCAGCCAAGACAAGATCTATAAGCCACGCTAATGAACCTTCTGCTGGCTTGAGTCTTCCACCTGTCCTCCACACACACACACACACACACACACACACACACACACACACACCAGGTACACGACACCTCACTTACCTTCCTAACACTAAATAAACAAGCGCTAAAAGGTATACCTGTATCAATAACACCAGATACTTGAATATTAGGCTTAAACCTGTATACTTGGACAAACGTTACTTAATAAAATTGTCTTCATGCTCAATTTGCTCCTGATTCAGTAATTAGTTGTGCCAGGTACACACACAGGGCTCGCTGGTGACCCTGACCTCTGCAGCTATAAACACTAAGACCCGCCTCTCCCACACATAACTCCTCCTCCCACTCCCACAGGCTCTCCCTCATATTCCGTCTCTCAGTTTAATCCCCCTCCCTCTCTCTCTCCTTCCCTCCCTCCTTCCATCACAGTCCTCTCTCCTTCTTCCCTCCCTCGTTCTGTTGTCTATCTTGCCTTCTATATGTCTTGTTTATCCAGTGTTTACTTCTATCTAGCGACGTGGGAGAATTTCAAGATGGTTCCCCGACATAACTGGATTAGCCGCTTGAGGTAAGGTGAGTCGAGAGGCACACAATACACCTACACCTACCTGCCTGTGTGTGTGTGGATACAAATATACACAGACACTAAGGTACTCAGTTGTTTCCCTTTTCCCGTGTGATTTTATCAAGATTTAGCTTATCCACGTTTTCATTGTGGATCTACATGAAATATATATATATATATATATATATATATATATATATATATATATATATATATATATATATATATATATATATATATATATATATATATATATATATATGTAATGCATTTAGGAATACAATAACCGTGAGTATATATATGCGAGTATATATAAATACATGCATACATACACCTACACACACACACACACACACACACACACACACACACATTAGGGTTTCACATCTAATGGACTCTTGATATAACGGATTCTTATATCTATATAGTTCGTTAAATAGAGGTTCTTACATCTAACGGGCCCTCGATACAACGGAATTTTCCCTCCATGTAGTCTGTTAAATAGAGGTTTCGCTGCATATTGGAGACCGAGTATGGTAGAAGCCTCTGACCTCACCACCACTATTGACTCCCCCAGCAGGATATTTGTCTGGCCCTTCAGGATAACTTCTTCACATCACCCATAAATGACATTCAGCAGCGACCTCTTCCTCCTCATCGTGTACAGTCAAGCTTCTCTCTCGGAACATCATGGACCGCCTCAACACACTCTCTATGACGCCCACACACACTCAAAACAGTCGTTCTCCTTCAGTATAGGTGTTGGTGATGGCTGCCCTGTTTCACGCCCCTCAGCCACTTCCCAATCTAAACAGCTTTATTATTTACGCCAAAGTCTCTCTCACACAAGCTGCTGCGAGGTCACCCATCACTGGCTACTAGTAACTCAACTCAGGAAACTTCACATCAACTACACCTCAACGCCTCAAATACTTCACGGGTAAGTCACTACTCTACAATGGTGACTTCAAAGTCCCTCACCCTGATCTTAAGCAACTCGGGAGAAGCAAGTTTAACGGGATCAGTCTAGTGCGTCTCACGGCCACCTGTGATCTGTTAACAACACATACATACTGTGGGTGCTCTTCTATACCACCATCAGAGGCGTAGTCCATCCTTGTTTCACGTTCCCTCCACGCATAGATAAAACCGCTTTGATACGGATCGACAGCAGTTTAACCATAGTGTGGGTCCTTCTCGTCAACGTACAGTCCCTCTACACTACCATGCCATCTGATTATGCTCTCTACCAGTTGCCGCCCTTCCCCCTCTGGATAAACTGGACATTGTACCAGACTGTCATTGTAGAGTACAAATTCTGGTCAAATGCCCCCTTCCCCCCCAAAAAATAAACACGTCTTCCTCACCTTTACTAATCACTTGTCATAACATTCAGGGTCCTCCTCAAAGGCCTGATGGGACAAGAAGAAGAGGCTTTAATGGGTCCTCAATCTTCCTCAACCTTGACATTTATATCCCTCAGGTGGCTGCCAAACAAGCGCTGGCTATCTGGATCGTTAAAGTACCAAGCAGCTGTAGAGAAGAAAGCAGAAATCTTAAGAATGCCCCAGTAAATTTTATTCAAAGAGTTATTCTACCATATATCAAATGAGTCTTATATTGAGTAGGTATATATCATCCAACTAACTTAATATAGAATGATTAATATAAAACGTGTCACTAAGTTAATAGATATCTCTTAGTTTATTATATTTCAGAGGATAATTCTTCACAAAACACCAAATGATTATATTGTGGGAAGGTCTTCAGGAAAAACATAAATTACTTGATTTTTTATTCAGAATGTCGAAGCGTGAGTGATGTTGTGTAATAATTCATATCAAGATTTATGGTGCAATGCCATCTCTCTCTCTCTCTCTCTCTCTCTCTCTCTCTCTCTCTCTCTCTCTCTCTCTCTCTCTCTCTCTGACATTTAACTTGTGCATGTTTTTGAGAATGGAGGAATGGGATAAGCAACGTAGCGTATTCCGAGTTTCTTTTTTTTACGTTTTTTTTACGGTTTTCACAGCGACAATTGGCGTAAACTTGGTTGGGTTTAGACACAGGTATGTACTGGTCGTAGTTGAAGTTGTTTGAGACGAAAAGCTTGAAAAACCAAGTCTATCATATCGTACAGCATAAAAAACAAAGTCTATCAAATGGTAAAGCTTAAAAAACAAACTATCATGTCGTAAAGCTTAAAAAACGAACTCTGTCAAGTCTATCATATCGTACAGCATAAAAAACAAAGTCTATCATATTGTAAAGCTTAAAATGAGGTCTATCCTATCATAAAGCCTAAAAAATGAACTCTATCAAGTCTATCATATCGTAAAACTTAGTTTAATTGGTTTAGGGTCACTGCAGGAAGTATACGGTTAAAAGCTTTCATAACAGATATCAAGAGAAACTGAAGGTACAGTCACTCCAAAAAACTATCTGTACTTGGGGTGATCGATGAATTTCAGAATGAACACTACGACTCCTTTTGCCTCGGTAGGGTTGTCAAAATCCTTCGTCCGTTGTGTTATATTTTTTCGACATAATTTGGTATAGATAATTTTTTTGAGTGACTAAAGTATTTGTGTGGGAAAAGATTACTTGTGTGTAGAGAGTCATTGATAATCTGGGACACAGAAGGTAATCAAAGGTAACTTAATCAAACTTACTAAATTAACCTAATCTAACCTAACATAACCCAGCACAATCTAACGTTTTAAACAATCCTCGACCATATTATGTAAAATTTTATACTCAATTCAGGATCCAGAAATGTGTTTAACCCATTAGTGCCGCCTTCCTAGCCTTCGTTAGTAGTAATTCGAGTCCCAAGGCAGCGCTCTACAAGTACCATAGTTCCCCCTCCACTAATTTCCAAGTGATGGTACGTTTTCTTTTTTAATGGCGTTCTGTAGTGGATTCCTCCCCTACAAGCACCGAACCTTCTCGAATTCCCCAGCCTATGCCTCCAGCGCCGCCCACGGAGCTGGGGTCAACTATCTACCCACGCCTACCCACGCCTTATAAAGCCTGACACCACTGTGACCAGCCTCTTTTCTACCCAGTGCCACCAGCAAGCAACACCTCCGCGGCTCCCGCTCCCGCCAGCGACCTCGGCGTCCCTCAAGCCGCGTGTCCCTCCTCTGGGCATCCTCACCACCCAGCTCTCTCTACTCAACGCTTATTACCATGCTACTTACCCAGCAACAAGCTGCATTGTACATCCAATACAATATGTATACAGTGAGCACATTGTGAGTTTCCTTTCTCCATCCCATCCTGTGTGTGAACCAATATCTCATAACCCCACAGTTCTTTATAGTTTATGACTGGCGGGGGCGGCGAAACCTTGAAAGAATGTGGGTCATTTGAGAATAAAATTTAAATATCGCTAACCAATTAAATTAAAAAGGTTGGCAAATATTTTCTAGTGTAAATTTTGATGTCATATATTATTAAAATTTACAATATGACGGGGATGACAATGTTATGGGAATGTTATATTGTTGTTAAGTTGTATTTTGTTGTGTGTTTGAGATGACGGTAAATAATAATCTTCTCTGACGATTTAATCACCCTCAGTACCTTATAGTCCGTGTGCCATCAAGGAACAGTGTGGCGGATGTGATTTACGCTGGATCTGACGCCCAACAACCACAGTTCTTTTCAAGTAATTCCTTCTTCTAAACAGTATTTCACTCGGAACTCTTTCAGAATTAATTAAAAATCGATGAAAATGTGTTGTTTCTCTGATAAGTAAATGTGTACTTGAAGATTTATGAATATATATGATTTTTTCCCTCCGATTCGTGTGATTGTGTGTGTGAGGGAAACCAATAGCGTCAGCACCATGGATGAGATAGAGCCTTGAGGTGAACGGCATAAACTGTATCACAAAATCGCACATTTAATAAACTAATAAAATCTTTAATACAGTAATAAGGTAAAAAAAATATATTGTCCTTTATTATTTTAGTAAATATATCATATCGTTTATAAATCTTAATCACTTTTATCCATATTGAAGTTTAAAGTTGGATTAGTCTTTGGGTTAGGCTAAGTTCTCACGTTATCTTTGGATTTGTTTAAGCTGATCATCGGTAGCTGAGGAAAGATTAGCTGATCTAAACAAGGATTAGCATAAACCAGTCTTATAAATTTGTTACCTTTGTGTGTCTGTCGTCAGTGTGTTGGAGTGGAAGATCTCAGGTGTGATGCCAGACGTTTCCACACCGACTGATATAGTGTGTCAACCTGGATGTCTACACCTCTATGTCTGTCTTTGATACCCCCAAAATGTTCTACACTACTGAGGGTATACGCAAACACTTGTTATCTTGAAAATAGGTTCTTATTCTCGTACGGGAGACAAAATACAGAGGAACAAATATATGGCTTGCACGCCATAAGGGCTAGCGATCTCAACTCCATGTATCACTCCGTGCTGGCATGTACAGATGCCAGCGTTCACAAGCTGTACATCCAATACAACATGTATACAGAGAGCACATTGTGAGTTTCCTTTCTCCATCCCATCCTGAGTGTGAACCAAACATCTCGTACCCCACAGTACTACTTCGTGTCCATATTATACACCTCCCTCCCCCCTATACGCTCATAGTTTCATCTTGAGCGGACCTTTTGTTTCTGAGTCGCTCGGACCTGCGGAGTACCTGGGCAGAAACACAAGGTGGGGATGGATTTACTGTAAAGACATCAACATTAGGGGACTCAACTGGGGAAGGGTCAACACTAGGCAGCTCCACAGGTCGGAGGAAACGACGGTTCCTCCATCATACTCTACCACTAGGAATGTCATGATCGTGATGACGGCTAACCTGAAAACCTTAAGGATTCATATTACGCTCAAACGTCCACAATACCTTCCGAGTCCCCCAGTGGAAACGTCCCCCGTTTTCTCTCTTTCCCCGTCTTTGTCTTAAGAGAACTTTGAATAATCCGCGGATTTCGTAGCAGACGCTGTATGTTGGGACCTGTTGCCATCCAACCCTTTGTAATCAATTTAATTTTGCTTTTGATAGCTGAGTCAGAGCATTGTTAGTGAGGATAATAGTAGGGAATGAAACTGAGTTCATAGTCTCAGTTTCAACGTCAGAGTGTACAGTAAATTAATTCATCGAAATAGAAGTAGGTGGACTCCCTGGCCTATTTTGAGTGAAGGTGCCGCGGGCATTTCTACCGTTAGTAAGTGCCCGTCCCTTCATCCATACAGGTATGCCATTCCACTCTGTGTTATAATTCGCCCTTCTTTAAGTGATTTGACCCAATTAATAGTTGATTGTGCAAGTGTTACAGTAACGTAGTTGATATGCTCTGAGTGAAGTCATATTTACGTCTTTAACGTCCCCTGAAATGTGATGTCGTTGTCACTGTTAGTAAGTGCTCGCCCCTTCACCCATACAGGTCCCTAACGCAGCCTAGGCCGTGTCTGTAGGGTGGATGTTGTATCCACTATGTCTGGGGAGATGTCCGAGGTCCAGTAGGATCAGTTACCTTCGTGAGACCCGGCCGTCAGACACTTCAGACTACCTATGGCCCCCATAGCTGGCTCGTCTGGCCCTAACGCTAGGCCTGCGAGGTGACCCCGGATCACCAAGCCACACACCACTACCAGCCCCCATCATTGGTGGATGAGTGTCTAACTCAGTAGGGCTATTTGTGTGGTGGAGTTAATCCACTGGGATCTTCAGAGTTCGTCGGAAAGTACTCCATGGTGGCTGGACCCCATGGCTGTTGCTTGAGTATCACTCCTGACGACTGAGTGTTGTAGTGGCAGTTGCCCTGGTCTTTATGGTGCTAAGTGACTATAAGAGTTATGTGTTATTGAGTATGTCCACCCAGTAGTGGTGTGAGTATGTTGAGCCTGAGGGCCTAGTACTAGATTTCGTCTGTTGGTACATATAAATTCTTTCTCCTAATTTCATATTAATGTTTAAATAAATTTTGTATTTGTATATTGTGTCTATTATTTACCTACAGTATTTACCGTTCTTTCTTCCCTATTGCTTGATACTATCATTACATCTACCCACGAGCCTCCTCTCGTCACGCTACCAATGGTAATAAGTATGAGAGTAAAAGGAATTGTTACTGACACACAGGCCCTTATAAAATGGTGGCAGCTCAGGCCCTCATAGGAAGACGCACTTGGTAGTCCCTGGACCGGCCAATACCCATGACAACCCCAACCGTGTCCCAGCGGTGAGATATCGGATCTTGAATCCTGACCTGCTGGCCGATACTCAACCTGGGAAGGGGGCGGGCATGATAGTCGTACCGAGCAGCGACATCTACGGCTCGTTCTGCTGCACGGCGGTCACATTCTTCAGTCTTGGCTTGCCATTCTTGAGAAAAAGACCGGGTGGGCAGGAACACAAGACCTGAGATGATGTCCATATAGAACCTGGGCTGGGGAGCGTCCGGTGAAGTTCGGGGTGTTGCGTAACTCTAACAAACCTCGATCGAAGTCCTCGCAGTCGATATTTCCTGAGGGTGACACCTTAAGGATCGGGTGTTTAACAGTCTTGACTGCGGCTTCAGCGTGTCCAT